CCCCAAAACCCCAAAACCCCAAAACCCCAAAACCCCACTGTGAAGCATAAAGATAAATGAATAGTTAAGTTTTATGAAATAATGCTAGTTGAAAATATAAATTCTTGCTCATACTTAGTTTAATGTGATTAATAGGATTGAAAACTTCAATTGTCAAAATATTGAAACTTAGTTAGTACTCTCAGTAGTCGTCTACCATCATGTCATCATCCTCGTCCATGTTATCGTCTTTCTTATTCTTAGGATTCTATTTAGACCCACCATCATCATCTTCATCCAAATCCAAAGGAATTGGATTCTCATCATCCTTGTATTCTATTTACAAGGCTTTGGCTTTCCTAAAGTAAAATTATTTTAAAATTTTATAGGTCTTACTTTTTCAAAAGATCGAACAAGTTTTCCTCACCATCCTGTTCATCACCATAGTCATCGCCTCCATTTTGGTCATCTTCATATTCCTCCTCATCATCTTGATATGCCTGGTTATTGTCATTCAATTATTCAGAGACTGTGGAGATTTGCTTTTAAACAGTTGTAGTCTTGAATATGCTAAATGGTCCTCCATTAGATGAACTTCTATTTTGAGATGATTAATCAGGTCCATTTGATTTCACAGTTGAGAATATATTCATAGGTTATTATGCTGAAGGGGGCTTTTACTTATCAGGATTGGGTTTTCTGCCAGGTTTTTTAGGGCCTTCATCAGCGCTACTCTTTTTAGTCATTCCTGATTTCTATGGTGTGTCATTCTACTTCTTTTTATCTTCTTTGCTTGAATGCTTATCTTCCTCGTCATTCATTTCGTAATCTGCATGGTTTTACTCAGCTGTGTTATTGATTGATGGTCTATGAAGTGTTGTGCTAATGTTCTTATTTGGAACTATAGGTTTTCCAGCTTGTTTCTTAAGTCTCTTGGTTCTCAAGAACTAGCCGCTTTGCTTGAGATCCTTTTGTTCTTAGTCATCCAAAAGCATATCTACAACATCAAGGGCATTGAAAACATCAGCTTTCAAAGCATTGCCTCCATATACAGTTGATTATACATTTTACTTTTGTCTAGCTCTCTTCAAAATCTTTTCTTCAACAGTTCTCTTTGTGACTAACCTATATACTGAAACTTTTTTAGTTTAACCGATACGATGGGCTCTATCTGTTGCTTATGCATCCATTGTTGGATTCCAATCATTATCATAGAAAACTACAGTATCAGCTGCTGTCAAGTTTACTCCTAAACCTCCAGCTCTTGTTGAAAGCAAAAATGCGAAAATTGATGGATTTTTCTGATACTCCTCAACCATATATCTTCTATCAGGAATTGATGTAGAACCATCCATTCTGAAATAGGTGTACTTTTTCCAACATAGAAAATCTTCAAGTATATCAAGCATTCTTGTCATTTGACAGAAAATAAGAACTCTGTGATTATCCCTTGAGAGATCAGCTAGTAGCTTATCTAGATACTACATCTTGGCACAATCTGTTACTAGTCTACTGTAATTAGGCAACTCTAAAATTGATGCTCCCTTCTCAGTTATTACATCATCTAAAATACCCTTTTCTATAAGTTGATACCCATTAGGCAAGACGGAATTTTGTAGATTATATCCCTACTCATGTTGCAAGAATTAGGATCGATCCTTGCCAACTTTTCCAAGATGAATTTCAAATCTCGGCTTGAACTTGTTACCCAGCAAGGCTTTCTTATGAAGACTACTGTTAATAGTTGAAATCAAGAATCTATTGAAGGTTCCACTTCTGCAAGTATAGTTAATGGGCTCAGCAAGTGCAGCATATACGAATATATCCAAATCTTGCCTCAATTACTTGGTGAAATTTGTATATACATTGAGATCCTCTACTACTAAAGGTGATAAAATTTCTAGTTATCCTTTATCATTATAGACTCTATTATGTCTGTAAATTAGGGATGATGAATAGTCTCTGTTAATATGGTCAATAATATTGATATCAACTCCGCTGTTTCTATTTTAACCCACCTGCAGATGCTTTAAGAAAATCTCATCTCTTTCATTATTAATAACTGTATCGTAAATTCTCTTGTGATATTTCTGATAGAAATAATGCATCAGTGCTATCTATTTGATTAGTGTATCTGCAACAAAAAGATATGAAGTCTCACTATAGCTCCAGTTGTTTCCTTTCATCATAAGTCTCAATGCACTGAAACTGCTTGAATTATTACTTTCAAAAGATTTCTAGTAGAGATTGATTGTACCAAATATATTGAATAAGTTCATATGAGTTTCTATTCCAACTTCCTATAGTGACTCATCAACTCCTGGCCTAATTTTTCTAAAGAACTTGGTTTTGTTATCAGTGCTTAAGAAACATTCGTCAAAAATTAGCTTTGGTATATCAAAATTAATGGGGTTTTTAATCTGGACTCTTAGGTCTGGAATTGATTAGAATGCTGGGTTAGGAAGCATGCCATGCTGTAACTCCTTAAATGAGAAAGGGATTCTTCCAATTCTTCTTTCAAATAGCTCTGGATGATTACATACTTTCCTAAACTGCATGACTAAGTTCATTAGGTTCTCCATCTTAGCTTTATTTTCTACAAGCTAAAAGAGATCTTTAGTGGAGATCTTTGATTTAATTCTATGATAGAGCACTCTTTGTCTATGGGTCATTTCACAAAACTTCTCATATTCTACTTTGGGACCTATCTCAGATTCTACATCTTTCTTCAGACGCCTGAGCATAAAAGGCTTCAAAACCAAATGAAGTCTTCTTAATTGATGCTTGTTAATTTCTCCTTGATTATTAAATGAATGCTATTCTATATCTTTTGAGAACCATTCTTAAAACTACTCATGACTATCAAATAATTTGGGCATAATAAAATGCAATAGTGCCCAAAGCTCAGCCATTGAATTCTATATAGGAGTACCAGTAAGTAGCAGTCTATTTCTTGTTTAGAACTATAGAAGTACTTTCCATCTTCTGCTTAAATTGTTTTTAATAGCCTAGGCTTCGTCTAATATCATGTAATGCCATTTTACTCTTAGCAGCTTAGCTTGATCTTTTTGGTTATTCACAATTAAATTGTAGGATGTCAGTAGCACATTTATTCTCATGTTAGGATTGTAGAGATTTTTAGGATCTAAGAACTTACCTAGTTTCTTTCTCTCTTCTGGACTTCCAAAGTAAGGAAGGACTTTAAGTGTCGGGCAAAATTTGGCTAGCTCATTTTGCCAATTGTGCAGAGTTGTAACAGGCACTATAATCATGAAAGGACCCCACACTCCTTTGGTCTCATATAAATGAGCAAGCAAGGAAATAGCTTAAATAGTTTTACCTAATCCCATCTCATCAGCAAGTATACCATTAATACCTTAATCGTAAAGGTTATCCAGCCATCTCATACCTTTCAGTTAATAATCTTTTAGGTTTCCAAGGAAGCAGGATGGAGCCTAGATAACATTATTGAAGTTAACGTCTGGGTTATCAAATTTATCGACTTCTAATTCATCTTCAAAGATTTCCTTTCTATGATCTATCTTACCTATAGTCTCTCTATCAAATTAGCCAACTCTGCTGATGTTTTCATTAATAAGTGAAGCAACGTTATTTCTCGCTTATCTATCATCTATTTAAACTCTTCTAAAATGATCCTTTTTCTCGTCTTCTAAATCATTGGCTCTTTATTTACTTTACTCATCAGATAATCCAAGCTTTTTTGACATAAAATGTGCGTAGATTTCTGATTGTTACATGATGAATTCTAATCTTTTCTTCTGAAGTAGGGCTTCTTTTTCCTCCTCTTGTTTTCTTTTCATCTCTTTTTCGATCTTCTCCTTCTTTCTCTTTAAATCAGCCATTTCCTTATCCCTCTTTTTCCAGAAGTTAATCATTTCCTTGGTAAGCTTCTTGGCTCTAAATGTAGTCTCCTTTGCTAATCTCTGAGTTTTGATGGCCTTCTTTCTAACTTCTTTGAGACAATTTGAAGATTGTTTCTTATTATTTGTATCTTGATCGGCTTAATACTTTTGGAATTATCTATATGCTTTAGGTATATCTTTCTTAACTATATTTAACCAAGCTCTCTTAATATTTGTCTACTCTTGCTTTTCTCTAGCTTACTTTGATATTGACTTAATTTTTTCTCTTTAATCTATTATATCCTTCATTGCCTAATCGTAAATCTTCTTTTTCTATGGATCCTAAACTTCATAGGGGTTAAATTGTAAGGATATAACATTTCTACCATCTACTCTAGCAAATGTCATTTGTCCACCTTAATTAGATGTAATTAAGGATCCTGCCACAGTCATTCCTAGTCCTGGTATAATCGGCTCTGCTCTCTCGAATACATTCGAGAACTTTGGCATTCTATCTACTCTGATTTTGTATTTGTCTAAAGTCTAGAATAGCTTTTCTGGCTCAAGACCAATCATTTTTACAAGCTCTTAATGCTTTTTCTTAGGCTATGATTCTTTGTTACCATCGTTGTTTGATTTACTACTTTCATTATTTTAATCCTGGTATTACTGTAATTGCTAGGATTTAGTCGGAATTTTAAGGATACGCCCAAACATATCTCTTTTGCTTTTGACTTTTGCAATAGGCTGACCTTTTGCATTTATTCCACAAAATTCTAATAGAACATTTTATATCTCATATGCTCTCTGATTAATTTGAATACTGTCAATCTCTGACACTGATTTATCAATACCATCAATATTAAGTCTTTTCTCGATACCTTAGAACTGTTCGAATTTGGAGATCAAATTTTCAAGTTATGACTGATTGTGATAGATTTTTTGATTCTTTAATTGGTTATTAAGGCAATCCAGTTCCTTTCTCAGCTAATCCGAAGTTGATTAGAGAGTGTTTAATAGTCCTTTTTATATTGCTTTGCTTTCTCTCCTCTTTCTATACCTTTCATTCTATCTCAACTTAAAACAGATTTTTTAAAGCGGGAGTTCTCTTAGATTTATGGAGCTCTTTTCACCTTGGCCAACAAGATACTCAGAAGCGTCGTGTCTTAATTAATTTATTATAGACTTAATTCTTTTTTCAGTTTCTAATCTGTTTTTCACTGCTTCCTCAGAGTCCTCTTAGGTTTATGAGTCTCCTTCATTTTTTACTTTATTTTGCAGATCTTTGCTATTCTTTAATCTAAAGTTAGGTGAGTTCGTTGCTTTATCATCGTCACTCGTGAATTGCTCATTCAGCAACTAAGACAATCTATTAACTAAAAATTAGCACTTACCTCGTGCACTCTAGACTTAGTTTAAGCTATCATCTCTTTCTATCTCACATATTCCATTCCATCCACTATCTAAAAAATAATTAACCAATCTATTAAAGAAGTATATAACAAGCATATTAATGATGAGAATTTATTTGACTCTCGTCCTAACTCTTCTCTTCTTAGGAATCAACGAATTCTCTTACCTTTTCATCAATAAGCTGTCTAATGTCCTTATTTTCTTTTTCTTGGGCTCTCATAAGTTTTCGCTATTCTAGTAAAAAGTTTGAAGCTTTGTCTGAGGTCCCCAGATTACCTAACAATCTATTCACGCTCTACATAGCATCTGAAAGTCTCATAGCATCTCCTACATAATCATTCTTGAGATGATAAGCGCTTCCACCTGCAGTAAGCCCGCTCACCTTCGAAGCAGTCTCTTTCATATTTTATGTTAAGAGAAAGGCCTGAGTGAGTTCAATAGTTGGCGGCAAATCATGTTTCAGATCGTATTGACAGAGAAGTTAGTCGAATGATGTTTTCTCAAAAGTGGCTTAGGGCGGGATCTTAGTTTGGGAAGCCGATTGATCAGCGGCTGACCCGTTTTCATTATGTTATTGTTGTTTCGTGCCCTCAATTGTCTGATCTACGTTGGAGACTAAGCCTCCATTATTTATATGGGTGCTTGAAGTATGAAGCATTTTAATATTTATTGGAAGATGTCTAAGTCTTGAATTAAATAGATACTATCTCTCTTGTGTTAAATAATTAATTCTCTTTTTTGGGCAACTCTCTCTTGTAACAGGGTCCTCCCAGAGATTCAAACATCTAACTTTGTACTCAAGATATTCGCCAGAATAATCTACTCTTTGAATATTTGAGGGGGAAATGACCTAGGAAGTGATAAAATGAGAGGGGGAGTCATTTCCAAAAATTGGTCGCCCTTGGATTCGACAAAAAGTATGGGAAAAAGAAGAGAATATATGTAGTTTAAGAGAATATACAAGGTTGTTTGATAAAATTAATAATTTTAAAGTGCCAATCACGTTTGTATTTTAAATTAATTATTAATATTAATCAAAGAATTATGAAAAGAGCATTAGCTTTGCTTGAACAAACTAAGAATACTATGCCTCATTTGCCTCGACCTGTCTCTGGCAATGACTCTGATTCAGATGATGACGGAAATTAAAATGCAAAAAATAACATACAGTACTAGAAAGGCACGAGGAGAAATCCATCTGCTTCAGGAAGAACTAGAATCAACGATTAGGCATAGTCTAAATTTGCAATAAACAATACAACTGATATTTCTAGTAGAAAGTCAACAGCAGTTTCTTCTACTACGCGTATTGGTTCATCTGGTAACGCAGCAAGTAACACTGCTCGAAATAATAAGAGGTAATCCTTTGTTGGAGCTGGAACATTCACTGCAACTGATATAATCGAGAAATAGTCTGTATATGAATTGTCATTGAAATAATCGTCAACAGCTGCAGGAAAAAAACCACCTCACAAATTAAGGCCTCTTAACTCGATTAAAAATATTGATAATAAAGCCAACTCTATTTTGGAGATAGAAAATGCTTATCAGAAGGAAATGCTTCGTGATATTGATGCTGATCTTAATGATTACCTTGATACGAATCAGATTTTATCATAGATGCAAAATGCTTTTGGAAGTGGAGCTTCATCAGCTACTAATTTAGGTCAAACATAGTTAGCAATAGCAGAAAAGAAAGATAGTAAGTTAAAGTAAAAGCTAGGCAAGACAATTGGAGGTTAATTAGACCCAATATTAGAGGAAGCAGCTGGATAAATTATTCCATATCAACCTAACATGACCTTGTAAGAGTAGAGAGCTAAGAAAAATGAGGCCCTAAAGAATAAAGTGAAAAAGCTGACAGGCACAGGCTCATCAACTTCACTTCCTTCAATAACTAATGGAAATGGCTCCGAGAGTACAGGGGATAAAGATGCTGAGACTTTCATCACAGGCACTAAGATCGCATAACAATAAGTACCAGAGGAAGATCAGCATATTCTAAGAGAGTATGAATCATAAATGGCAACAAGGAAAAAGAAGTACTATAAATATGAGGAGGACGAGTTACTAGATGACTTGGATCAACATGAACGAGATATGAATGAAATGCTTAAATATTTATCAGAAGTTGAAGAACTCATCAAGGGCTAAGATTTAAAGTCAATCTAATAGATGATGGATGTAACCAAGGAGACAATGAATTAGCACTTCTAGGCATGTGATAAATTTAAAGGGCAGATCTAAGAAATTGACAATCAAGCTGAGGAAGCTATAAGAATCCTTAACTTTTATGATAATGAAGATGGAGGATCAAAGAGCAAAAAGGATAAAAAAGATATGCAACTTGAAAGAGTCATTGAGGATAGAAGTGATGACGAAGCAGAAGTTATGAATAAAAAATAGAAACCATCACACGAGTAGTCCAAGCACCATATAGTGAATAAGTTAAATGGAATGAATCAATCAATGAGAGATTTTACCAGTTCACTTGAGTCAAGACTTGACAGAGCTTACAAAACAGGTGCAACAAAGAAGTTTGGATACGATGGTGTAATTAATGCTTCCCAGTAAGATTCATTTGAGGAAGGAAAGGAAGAAAGAATCCTTAATAAAATGCACAATTAAGCCTAGTAATTCATTGAATAAAACAGTGCATCTGCTCTTCTTAAAAGTTAGGCACCGAGTACAGCATCTACTATAGGCAGGAAAAATAGTCATTCAAGTTCAACTGCAATGAGAGCACTACCACCAAGTGAGAAAAGAAAGGGCAGTGTGAAGAACACAAGGCCAAAGAAGATAAATGATGACTTAAGCTGAGGAAGATATAGAATAGTGTGCAAGGAAGCAATAATTGACTGCTAAGATTATTAATATGATCATAAATTAATTATACTCATATAAATCAATTCAATTGAAGTAATAGAAATACCTCATGGGGTTTTGGGGTTTTGGGGTTTTGGGG